TTCCTAAATTTTTTTTTAATCTTACGCCCTGCCCCATTTCACAGACATAGTCTCCTGTATGATTTTCTTTCTCCTGCCTCAACAAATGGATGTCACAGCTGTATCAGAGAAGAATGATGATTGTTTTTATTTTCTTAAAATCGATTTTAAAATTAATGGCAGAGACAATAGAATTTTAAAACTCTTTATTTATCAATTTCAGAAGAAAGCCTACTCTGCCTTCCAAAATAACTAAGATTCTATGGACTGCATGAAGGGATTGTTGAAGAAGAGAGGATGAATGATAGAGGTTGATAGGGCTTGTGTGAAAGACCAGGCTATCAGGTAGGAATCACATTTTAATTTCTTTATTTGCCAAGTAGATAACTAATTACTTAAACATCATTTGTTAAGAAATCCACACTTTTCCCAATGATCTTCAATACCAGTGTATCGGCTTTATAAATGAAGTTTCCAAATATGTATAGTAGGTCTTTTGGGGGCTCTTATGCTATAGTTCTGGCCTAAGTGCTAATCTCACACAACATTAATACTTTATGCTATTTGATATAGCCTTCTACCTGGTTGCTTTTCTTAATTTTTTGTTATTTTCTCTTTGCTAAAAATTTAGAGTAAGTTTGTTAGATTTTATGAAAACATGCAAACACAAGGACCATAGAGCAATAGCCACAACTTCTAATATATTATTCAATAAGTGAGAATAAAATGAACACCACTGTATTTTTCTTAATTATAAAGAAACCACTTTATCATTTATTATAAAGTCTGCTTTTGGGCAATTTTTAAGATATCTTTTATTAGATAAAAAATGTTTTCTATTTCGAAAGGAGTTTAAAGGAAAAGCAGTTTAAAGGAAAAGGATTTTAAAGAAAAAGGAGTTTAAAGGTTTTCTAAATCATTAGTGGGCTTTCAAATTTTATCAGTTGCCTTTTCTACATCTATTGAGATGAAGCCATAGTTTTTCTCTGTTGATTCTTTAATGTGGTGAATTATATTACTTGATTTTTCTAATATTAAATCAAAGTAACATTTCTCAGTTTAAATTAACTTTACCATATTTTAAAATGTATTGCTAGATCCAGTTCATTAACATTTTGTTTAAAATTTTGTCAGTTATTTTTTTGATTAAGGTTGTTCCATTATTTTCCTTTCTTATATTTTTCTTGAGATGTTCGAATATCAGGATAATAAAATGTGTTAGAAAGTATTCCTTATTTGTCTAGACTCTGCAAACATATTTATGAGATTGAATGTATTTATTTCATGTTTATAATTCATAAATGAATAGATATTCATACATTGGGGGCATATTCAATTTTTTTAATGGTGAAGAGATTTCAAAATAGTTTGGTAACCAATGGTATATATAAAAGGTATAGTTTTGGCATTTGAGGCACTCTATAATTCAATCCCAGGCTCTTTTTTTCAAGTCTTAAACCTAAGGGAAAATATTGTTCTTGATTTCCATTAGTTATATTCTCTATTTTTTCATAAATTTATATTTTAAATCCAGAAGAGAAGTCATATGGTTTCTGATTAAATCTTATCCTTTTTCAGATGAATTTATCTGGCTCAAACGGTTCAGTTAGTTCTCCAAGGTCATATGAATAAGGATTCACCCTTTAAATTCCAATTTCCTTTGAGAAATTATTTCTGATTTTTCTACCTTCTCTCCCATAGCAGGGAGGTGTCTCACCCCTGCGCTATAACCAAATACTATACCAAACTCATCCCCACTCATATTATATAACCTCAGAAAACTTAACAATATTTATTATATTACAGTTCATTGTTCTTGTGAGTAGAATATATGAAGTATATTTTAGACACAGAATAAAGACTTGTGGTTTAGATACATTATTAAATGAGTGTCTATGTCTTCCACTAAATTTTAAACTACCTGAACACAGGTTTAACGCACAAAAAATACTTTGTAAATGTATATTAAATTAGGAAATGCATGTGCTAAACAAGTTCGAAACCAGCCTAGTGGTTTCTTGTCTGCTCTGTTTTGCTACTTTGTAGACAAAAAACATAAATTTGCAAATAATACATACATAAAACACCCCACAATATTTTTCTGAAATGTAACTAATTATGCAGAGGAATTAATAAAAGAAGGAATTAATAAAAATTTTCAAGGCTGAAACAGGATCCACACATCTCACCCCTCAATAGAAATCAACTAATGGTGGATAACAGACTTAAACCTAAGGCATGAAACTATAAGAATTCTAGAAGAAAATGTTGGAAAAACTCTTATAGACATTGGCCTAGGCAAAGAATTTATGAAGAAGCTCCCAAAGGTAATCACGGCAGCAACAAAAATAAATAAATGGGACCTGATCAAGTTAAAAAGCATCTGCACAGCCAAGGAAACTATCATGAGAGCAAACAGACAATCTACATAATGGGAGAAAATATTCACAAGCTACACATCCAATAAATGGCTGATAACTGGAATCTACATAGAACTCAGGAAAATCAGCAAGAAAATATCAAACAACCCCATCAAAAAGTGGGCAAATGACATGAACAGAAACTTTTCAAAAGAAGACAGAATAATGGCCAGCAAACATATGAAAAAATGCTCAGCATCTCTAATCATCAAGGAAATGCAAATCAAAACCACAATGAGACATCACTTATCTCCAGTGAGAGTGGCCTGTATCAAAAAGTCCCCAAAAAATAAATGGTGGCATGAATGTGGAAAGATAGGAATGCTTATACACTGTTGGTGGGACTGCAAACTAGTACAACCTCTGTGGAAAGTAATATGGAGATGCCTCAAAGAGCTACAAATAGAACTACGATTTGATCCAACAATCCCATAATTGGGCGTCTACCCAAAGGAAAAAAAAGACATTCTATAAAAAAGACATCTGTACTCAAATGTTTATAGCAGCACAATTCACAATTGCAAAGATGTGGAAACATACATGAGTGGATTAATAAGATGTGGTATATGTATACCGTGGAGCCACAAAAAGCAATGGTGATCTAGCACCTCTTGTGTTATTCTGGATAGAGCTGGAGCCCATTCTACTAAGTGAAGTATCACAAGAATGGAAAAACAAGCACCACATACACTCGCTATTAAATTGGTATTAACTGATCAACACTTACGTGCACGTTTAGTAGTAACATTCATTGGGTGTCAGGCAGGTGGGGGGGGGAGGAGAGGATGGGGTATAGTCACACCTAATGGGTGCAGTGCACGCTGTCTGGTGGATGGACATGCTTGAAGCTCTGACTTTGGTGGGGCAATGACAATATATGTAACCTAAACATTTGTACCCCCATAATATGCTGAACTAAAAAAATAATAATAAAAATTTCTTTAAAAACAGCCTGTTTTTGAAAGGCTGCCTTAGGGATTATGGCGATAAATGCTCCCAGTAAAATGCAGGGATGATGTAATCAAAAGGGCCACCTTATTTTTTTCTTTATGTATAGAATAAAGTTGAATAGACATAAATAAATATTGTCAAACCATAATCAAAAGTGACATGTAGTTCCATAGTTTGGGATTACAGGATGTGCAAAAACACCAAACATGTGGTGTTTTCTTTAATTAAGCACAACCAAACATGCTCATTTAAGAATTAAGGCTTTAAATAATTAGGGATGATAATATACTCTTTGATTTTTTATTTATCTGTGCATCTTCAGAGTTCCTATTAGGTTTTGAGAATGCAAATGTAATCGAGACAGCACTCTGAAATTTAGTAATTCATGTTTTAGAGAAGACACGGATGCCAATAAGCTTCGTGTATCTGGTTGTAATCCCAGTTATCATGAGGTTAGGAGTCGAATCATGTACAGATTATGCAGGTCAGTGAAAGCAGCAGGTGCTCAGACTCCATCAGAAGAACCCTTGAGGGGGTTGGAGGCAAAATATGATGCAGAAATATGTGGACTTCTTTGTATTCCAAGCTGACAAGTTTATATTTTATTCAAGAAGTGATAGGAGTGGCAAGAATAATATCAGTTTGCATTGTCAATCATATGACTTTAGCACAGCACATGGTTAAGAGAAGCAGTATTGAGTAATGGAGAAGAACTTGAATTCCGAAATCAGACTATGTGGTACATATCCAGTCCAACTAGTAATACATGCCACGACCCCAAGAAAGTTTCATGTCTGTTTCCTCATCTCTAAACAAGGACAATAATAGTAACTACCTCCTTGTTTAGTTTCGGAGATTGGGTGAGTTAATACATATATAGCACTTATAAAAATGCCAGGCATATTGAAGCAGCAATTGTTAGCTTTGTTATTGGTATTATTATTGTTAAAGGCATACTATTTAAATTGTATTAACAGTGAGCTATATCGTCAGAAAGGAGTAAATAGACAAGCAACATTTTACCTTAAGAAAAAAATGGCTTGGAACACTAATAAGTCATGTTATTATATTTACGCCTTGTCTCTTCTCTTCCCAGCTGGTCAAATTGGGACCAGACATCACCATTGTTAAATAAAAGATGTGGGAAGAAAATGTGGCTGGAATGTAAAGTCTGGAATTCAGATTATTAATATTTGGAATAAACAAGAAAATGTGACATTATAGTAACAACTTCTCCTGAGAAGTTCTTTTATTTCATCCTATCAAAAAGATGTGGGAATTATGTAATATATGATAAGAGGAGAATGACATTGAAGGAAGAAGATTTGGAAAATTAACATAGTAAATTCTTTGTGAAAAGCTCTCTCTGTCTCATTCAGCTTTGGTCCGAATTATTATTCAACTCCCTTGCAATGGCAGGTAACACGGTCCTTCAAATAGGTCAAAAACTGTTGTTGTCAAATCTTATGTCATACATGACTGTCGAGGATGAAGATGTCAAGGGCTGAATAGTTCTTAATGTTCAAAACAAGATTTCTTTTCAGTAAGTTCATTCAGCGGTGGTGTGGAACATGGGCTGGAATTGGGAAATATTGGGATGAGTAATCCAGATAAGATATGCAGTCATCCAAGGCAAGTGACGCTGATGTCATGGACCATGTCAGTGGAGAGGAAGAGATACCTGCAGGAAGGCAAGGTGCTGGACTATTGACCACAGGTGAGAAATGAGGGAGGTATACTGGGTAGATAACTGACAGCGTTAATTTTCTGTTAGAGTTTAGAGGTTGAGTATACTGATTAGGTAAGAATTTTAGATAAATGTTAGACATTTTAAGTTAATGTTGTCTGGAATTGGTCCTCTTTATAATCAATTGGAAAATATAAGTTAGAATTTCAGTAAAGAAATAGCATCTGGAAGTTTCATAAACTTGGAGCCAAAGGTATATAAAACCAAAATCACCTAGAGAAATTCACATAACGTGGCAGAAAAGGGGAAGAATGACAAGACACTAGAAAACCTCAACATTCAAAGAGAAGACGAAAAACGTAATGGGAAAGCACAGAAATGCAAATATTTCTCTAATTTCCATCTTTCTTCATCCCTCCCTTATATGTTGTTCTCAGAATTCCATGCTCAATCCACTATTCTATGACATATATAGAACCTCTCTCTTGAGCGAAGAAGCCAAGTAATCAAGAGCTTACCAAACGTTTCCAGTTCAACATTTCACAGGCAACTCAAACTTTGGGTCCTTTAAGAGATGTTACACAATTAAATCAGATATGCATTTTATGTCCTCTATATTACAAAAGGCCACTAACATGCACCCAGAGGTTCAAGTCTAAACAAAGCTCTGGATCTTTCCAGAGCACTTTCCCTTGCTTGTTCTCTACATTCAAGTTCACTGAACCCTGGTAATCTTGCTCTCAACAGGGCATTCTTACCCACTCCTCTTCTTAATTACTGCAGTCAGTTCCTCTTGAGGGAGGCCTTCAGATTTTGCTAACCTGGTTGCTGCACAATTTCTTGGTTGTTTGTTTTCCAACTGCACATCCCTCTCCCTGCTCATGTAATTGATCTGTAAATATGGATTTGTTTATGTCATTTCCCTGCATAAAACTCAGTAATGAATTCCCATGGATAAAATTCAAATTCTTTAGAAATGAACATAATAATACTTCAGGATTTGGGCCTTGGCTACCTATTGACCTTTATCTTTCACAATCCCTTAAATATGAAACTTCTAACATACCATGTTGGCTTGAATTTCAGAATAGTTTGATGTAACGGACCATCTATATGTATATGTATTTGATTCCTTAAAATGTCTAAATCAGTGGTGAGAGAACTGCAAACTACAGCCATCAGGCCAAATCCAGGCTTCCATCCACTGTAGTAAATAAAGTTTTCTGAAATACAACCATGCCTCTTCATTTACAAATTATCTATGGCTGCTTTCACACCGTTAAGGCGGAGTCGAATAATTGTGATAGACACCGTTTGTCCCCCACATCCTACAATAATTATTCTCTGGCCCTATGCAGAAAAAGCTTCCCTACCTCTGGTCTAAATTGACGCTATAAATACTAGGGCATCTTGAGTCATAATGGGATTTTAGAAGGCAAGAAATGTTGCTTTTATAGAGAGCTATTCACCAAATTCATGTAAGTACAGAAGTTTTAGAGAAAAAAAAAATCCTTTAATTGGCATTTATTATAGGCAAACACATGTATTTTATCCTTTTTATCCGCAAGAACTGAGATGCTTATGTTATCTTCCAAAATTCCACTCTGACCATGTTGTTCTCCATTTTGAAAATTTCCACCATTGATTGACCAGAAATTGGAAATTCAAACACCTTGGGGCTTGTGGCAGTTACGAGAAAGGGCTTTGCAGACTTCAAATTGCAGGGAATAAAATTAACTGAGGGCCCAAGCCACTGAGCCCTGACACGCATGGCTGCATTTGCACTGAAGTCATGTCTCTCGGCGGCTGCTCCCAGCTGGTGCCTTAGTTCAGCTGGGATTCTAAACCAGACCTGTTTCTAGAAGACATGTCCTCCTTTGATGCTGACTTGATCTGAAGACTCCTTGAAGGCCTTATCCAACACTCCTTAGATTGTATGGTGATCTAGGACATTTATATCCAATCTTCTTCTTCCCCCTCTCCTTAACTCAAAGTCAGACTTGTATCATAATCTGACAGCGCTACCAGCCTTTTATGGTTCCTTTCCCATTTTCCTCTCATAGGTATTCGTCTAATAAAATTCTTGCATATTAGTTCTGTCTTGGTGTTTGCTGTTCAAGAGACCTGGACACTTTTTTCCCTTTTCTACATAAAGGTCCTATTGAATTTTAACTTCCCCTCCTCCTTTCCTCATTTCAGTCTTGCCCCTACTACGTCAAAAAAGAAAATCAGCTTTTTTGAGCAGTGTGGTTAAAGGTCTGTAGTGAAGAGTTTTCAGTGAAATAATGTACTGGGGATATTCCGCACAACATTATCTTCTTAAAAGCATCGCAATCTATAGTATACCAGAGTGGAGTGAGCATTATTTTCTTGCGACACACCCACGCAGGTTTAGAAATAGGCGAATGAGACACAGGAGTTTCTATTTTCATCTAGGAGTTTTCTACTCTGATTAATTACGGAAGTTGAGACCACCAAACTGTATTATTCTCATGTGGTATCTATTTGTTGATTCATTAGACAAATATTGTCTGCTGTGGGTGAGTCAAGGCCCTGTTCTAGACCAAGTCTGAATGAATCAGGCCCTTATTCAGCAGGCTTTGAGAAATTAGTACTAAATATTTCCTACTATGCTGTGCCTCTTGGGGAGAGCTTAGATGGCTCAGAAATTAGTCAAGTAATTAGAAAGTACCCTTTGCCAAAATCTACTAGCCCACATTTTCTATCAGTTAGAAGTTAATCTGAGTCATACTTTTAAATTGCAAATGTATCTTTGAAGAGTTAAGATTAAATTGGACCACAAGTTAGAGTGTTTTGATTCAGTTGGGCAATTATATCTCAGTTAGCGACTTGGGAATGCTAGTGACTTTACAATGCCAGTGTGAAGATTAACAACATAAAATAAACTCAAGAAAGCATAAAAAACCTAATCAGAAATGTATGAAGACTATAATGGCTAGAGTACTTTTTTTTTTTTTTTTTTTTTTGAGACAGAGTCTCACTCTGTTGTCCTGGCTAGAGTGAGTGCCACGGCGTTAGCCTAGCTCACAGCAACCTCAAATTCCTGGGCTCAAGCGATCCTACTGCCCCAGCCTCCCAAGTAGCTGGGACTACAGGCATGCACCACCATGCCCGGCTAATTTTTTCTATAAATTTTTAGTTGTTCAGATAATTTCTTTCTATTTTTTTTTTAGTAGAGACGAGTTCTCGCTCTTGCTCAGGCTGGTCTCGAACTCCTGAGCTCAAACAATCCGCCCGCCTCAGCCTCCCAGAGTGCTAGGATTACAGGCGTGAGCCACCGCACCCGGCCAAAAGTACATTTTTTTAAATGAAAAGATGAGGTACATCTGAGGAATGAATTTGCAAGCTGAAAGATCAGATTTAGAAAATCAACTTTCCCTCAATAAAAAGATTAAAGAAACATAAAAATATGGCTAAGATATATAGAAGCTGGAAGTATAAGTGCCAGCATATAGCTAGTTCCAGAAAGAGAGAAAAATAAAAATGAAAAGGAACAAAGACTTGAATAAATAATGGAGATTCATTTTATACAATTAAAAAAGATGACAATATTAGTTTGAAAGTGTTTACAGTGCCAAGAAGCAGCACCAATAATGAATAATAAGCGGACATAATAATGAAATGTAAGTATAATATAGAAACCACAAAACTTTCAAAAGTTTAGAGAAATAATAGATCATGTTCAAAGGCAGAGATGTTTTTAAGATGCAACATGGGACACAATTTTCAAGGTATTGAAGGAAAAGATGTTAAAATCTCAAATTTTTATTGGATGATACTGTCATATTAAAATAGTCTCAGTTATGGAAGTCCTCAGAAATTTTAGTTTTCGTCACTGACAAAAGATTAGTATAAAATTGTATAAAATCTCTAACAAATAAATAAGAAAAATAATCTAATTTGAAAGTAGGCCAAAAAACCCTCAAATATTTCTATAAGAAAGAACACATTGGCCAGAAAACAATGATCAACATTCCTTGTAATCAGGGAATTGCAAATAAAGACTGAAATGAGATACTATTTTAACCTATTCAGTTAGAAAAGAAGATAAAAGTTTAACAATGCCAAGAGGATGTAGAACTATATAATTTATTATATATTGTTGATAGGAATGTAGATTTTTGCAACCACTTTGGATAATAATTTGAATTTATCTTTTATATAGATGATTCTTAAATCCATAGATACAGAAATTTCATATCTAAGTACACAAGAGAAAAACTTACATATATGCAAAAAGAGATGTGTACGAAAATGTTTTCAGAATCATAGTTCACCATAGCAATGGTGTGAAAACAACACAAGCATCCCTCAATGGAGAGTAGAAAAGTAAACTATGGTATAGTCACACAATTATATACTATTTTTATTAGTTTTCTATTGCCGCTGTTACAAATTACAGCTGACTTTGTGACTTAGAACAATACAAATTTATTATCTTGCTGTTCTGAATGTCAGAAGTCTCAAATAGCATCACTGGATTAAAATCAAGGTATCAGCAGAGCTGTGTTTCTTTCCAGGGAAAAATCCATTTTCTTGCTTTCTTTAGCTTCTAGACTTTTCCCACATTCCTTGGCTCATTGCCTCCTGCCATCTTCAAAACAAGCAATGTCTAGTGGAGTCTTTCTCTGACATGCTTTATTTATTCTGAAGAATAGAGAAAGCTTGCTGAATTATTCTGACATGCCTTCTCCAGCCTCCTTCTTCCGCATGTAAGAATGCTTGTGATTACGTTGGGCCTATCCTGACAAACCAGGATAATCTCCACATATCATCCCCTTATTCCATCTGAAACCTTAATTCTCCTTTGCATGTAATTTAACCTATACCCAGGTTATGAGGTTTAGGACAGGGACATCTTTGGTTGCTGTTATCCTGCCCACTACAGTGTACAACCATCAAAACAAATAAACTACAGTGGTGTATCATCATATGGATGAACCCTAGCAATGTAATTTTAAGTGGAAACAGTCATCTCCAAAAGATTATATATTACAAGATTTCCTTTT